TTTTTTTTTTTTTTTTTTTTTTTTTTTTTTTTTGCATTCATCTTTTTTTATAGCGTAAAGTGTTAGGTGGATTATTAATATTTCCGCAGCTAAAAGATGAGCTTCAAGTAGGAATTGAACATTGTCAGCATTTTTCGTTCAACACAGTTACTGGTAGCGCATAATTACCACATTTTAAAACCATAAATAATCGTGAAATATCTTAAATGATGTGGCATAGTCACAGACGACTAATTTGATACGGTTTGTCTCTTACGTTGAAACTCATTGAAATTAAAATGATAGCGAGGTTTACTTTGCAAGAAATTAAGTAACATACGTAACAAACTCAAGCCACAGTAACGACATAAAACGCGGTCCCTGTATTTGCATAAAAAAACAGAACAAGTTGAAAAAGAAATATTGAACGAAAGCAAACTATCACATCAAAATCTATAGACAAGTCATGTACAAAACTCTATTGAACAAATATGTAAAAAGTTTTCGTCTTATGAGGTTGATCCCGTTTTTAATCACTTACCGTCACGTTCCTTCAGAAAACGGTGGTATCTCATTATCTTCCAAGAAAAGGCGATGAATTACGCCGGTCGTACGCTTACCACTGCTTGTCGTTTTCACGCAGCACCCTACGTCATCAATCTCAAAATGTGTTTCGGTACCATCATCAACAAATTCGCCCTGAATTTCCATATATATGCGAAATACTTTGAAATTCATTTATAATAGAGGCAATAAAACAATTTTTCTTCCTTAAAGAAACTATAAAAATTAAATTTAAATAAGCTACGGTAAAGTAAGAGAAAGAGTTTTGCAGAATGACGAAACAAAAAACAAAATTACCGCAGTATTGACTTTTTTGCCGTCTACCCATATATCCATCGTTTTTTTATCTAAACATATCCAGATTTAAACCTTCTGTAACAGCCACTGAGTTTTTGAACCAATGCAGCATCAAAGAAAAAAGAACGTACTTCAAAAACTTTCTTTTATATCTAACTTCTGAGGTTTGGCATTATTCGCATTTTAGCTGGATAAGCACACCCACATATCGTTGACTTGATCAGTTTAGAAACAATTAGCAAAAATTCAACTATTTTTACCTAAACATATACGATGTTGGTTCGCTCCCACATCTACGTACCATATTTGCAACTTTCTTCCTTGATCTTCTATAAATTTTTCGTAAGTTTTTCCAAGAATTTCTAAGGTGTACAGGTAAGAGAATGGTCCATGGGCTTCAGCATTGATGCTACATTTAATGTTCCCAATAGAGAAAGTCTCTTTGCCAACAAGTTTGAACATCCATTCCCTCCTGATTACCTCCTATAAAAAAGTTACGGTAATAATTCTCGTTTCTGCTGGCGTTAATTCTTCAAGCCCGTACTCACACCAGGATTAGAGAAAAAAAAAAGAAGTGAAGCAGAATGCTGCAGAAAAAAAAGTTGAAAATTGAGGATAAGAAGCAAAGGAAAAAGGAGATTACTTATTCTTGTAAACGAGCTTTTGCGTTGTTGGTTTCGTCGAAGAAAAAACTAATTTGTCTAAAAGTAACTAAAACTAACAACTACTTGTAAAAGAAAACTCGATGCAGACAGCTACTAATTTAAATCAGAATTAAAGCGTTTAAGTGACGACCGAAAGTGCTTTTGAAAATGTAAAATCAGATTACACGTCAAAAGTTTGTTTCCTACTTCCTACAGGTCTGTAGGTCTTGATACGTTTAAGGTAATTATTAACTTAGAAGCTATTTCATGATTATATGCGAGAAAAAAGATTTTAGATATTGAGCAAAGACTTTTTCTTTTGAAGGTTTCTGGCTACGCTAGTAATGAAAAAGCGAAAGTCAGCTATCCTATAATTAATAGAAACGACAATGCTCTAGTTACTTTATTAATCATCGCTTTCTTCGTAGCCATTTAGTAAGCTTAATATTGGCAAAATATCGAACATTCATAACCAACGTCTTATTTTTATAACTTTTTCTGCTTCTCCATGTCATTCTACCCTTTTCAACTTAGATCCTCGGCCCGGCCCCACCCGCTTTTTGGTATTTTTGGCTCTACTAAATCAATAGCTAAACCATTCAATTATTTATCTACTAAAACTTTAGTTACTGCTTCATGAAATTAAGGTCTGAAAATGTTTTTCAATAATTTCTATGCTTTCATCCTGGATTCTTGTCGTCCCCATACCAAATGCTCGTCTTTTTTTAAAACGTTGACCTGGATGATTACGTAAATGTTATTTATATTAGCATAGTAGTTGAGGTGGTCTTATGTTGAACTTAGTTCGCCGCAACTTACAACTCAGAATCAGTACTCTTCTTGTTGAAAGAAACATACTTCAAATAAGTAATCGGCAACTTTTTCAGGAAACTGCTTGGGCTGCTTTCTCTAAGACACATTTACTATAATAAATTACTGAAATGAATAAACTGCCTTGCCGTCAACTCTGACAATTCGCTTCCCAGTCGTTGTCCCATGTTCGAATTCGATCTCATAGGTTTTATTTTGTAATGGTATAGTCCACCTGGCTACTAAGTCTTCTGCCGTCGCTGTCATTTTATCTAGATAAATTCAAAACAGTTTCCAACAAATATTGTTACCAGAAAATGAGTCCTGCAACAAATAACTTCTGAAAAGACATTCTGACACAAATTGACTGTCAATTAGTCGTGTTTAAAAAGTATCAAAACTTTGAGATTTCCGCTCCTCATTAATTGCGTTAAACATCAGCTGGAAAAAAAGCACTGTATTTTTTTTTCTTATTGGAGCGCCTAAGCTTAAAATTGTTAAAAACAGAGAGTTCTGACCGAAGCTCGTGTAACAGGCATTATCGTTGCTTAGCCGTACAAGAACGAAGAAACGCCCAAGAAATCTGAGACGATGACTGTGACTCAAAGTTGGGCGTGTGCTGAGTCTGTGTTAACTTAATTCGCCCAGCT